ACCTTTGCATATTGTACATTTTAAGACAGGACCATGCTACATATTCTGTTCAGTTCAGCAGAAGTTCAAACAATAGTTAAGGGCAGTTCCTGAATGTCCATAAGGAGCTATGGGCACACACACATATGGACACACACATGGTGAGCAGTAACCATGAGTAGGTGGAAGAGGAGGGATGTTATACAGTATATAACATGCCATGTTTGATTATGTGAACTCTTCAGTGGATCTTTGGCATGGGGAGGCGTGAGAGGCTGGGGGGAACCAGGACTCTGGCTCTGAGCAGTCCCAGGTCTGGCATTTCCAGACTAGGGCTAGGAGAGCTGGTGCTCCCGAGGTCCCTCCTGACCCCCAGCGTGCGGGGCTTAGCGAGCACCCCATGGTCCAGAGACGGGCCCACCGCCTGGGGACCAGAATTGAAGCAGGACATGCCACTGGAGGGAGGCGGCAGCTGCTTGGTCCTGTGGTTGGCCAGCAGCGCTGAAGAGCCCGATCGAAGAAGAGAGCCATTAGTGCCCCCCTGAGGCAGAGCCGGGATGGACACGCGCTTGTGGAGGCGGGGCGGCTGCAGGATGCGAGGGCCCTGTGGCCCCACTGGAGAGGCTCGCTGCCCTCCCTCTGGCCTGGACACAGCTCCTGGGGTTGGGCTGCTGGCTGCAGCAAGCCCCTGGGTGGGACTGGGGGTGGTCCCAGGCCCCTCTCTGTCATGGATGTTGAGCTGGGTGCTAAGCAGCACGCTCAATTCATCTGGGTCAGGCACTGGGGGAGTGTTCACACCCATGGCCGGGCTTCCAGCAGGGGGGTCAGAGTCTGTGCAGGGGAACCCATCTCCCCTGGTCCTCCTCCCTCTCTGGTGGTCACTGTGGCCCTCTGTGAGGGCTGTTTTTACTAGTCTTTCCTGGGTGAGGTGCCCGTGGTGGCTGGGGCTGGAAGGCTGTATTTGAGGCTATAGATGAAAAACAAAAATAAACACATTATTATCAATTCACTGAAAATGTTGAGTTATAAATGTATTGTGTACATCACATATGAACTGCTGTCAGATATATTGGAATATAAATGTTTGCTCTATTCATTCTATTTATGCAGTTCCTGATACAGCCCTGTCTTTAGTTGAAGGCAGCTAATCCAATAGTTTATGTTCCAGATACAACCCACCATTAGTTAAAGGCATCCAATCCAATCATTTTTTAAAAAGTAGTCACATTCTGAGATCTGTATTCAAATAGTTTTAAAAAGCAGTCATTTTTGGGATCTTATTAAAATACTCACCTCCAAAGTAACTATTTGTTCCCCCCATAAAATAGTTACTTTCCACAAAGCATATTTAAAAACTATAGTTATCCCAGGTCTGTCAGGAACACAAGGTAGACTCCAAAACCCACGGCATGCAGATGCACATGAACACTGGCATGCCTTCATCGTGCCATGTCATGCCATGCCAGCGTGCAGGGCCCAGGGTGATGGGTAGACGTTAGCGAGATCGGAAACGGTTACTGTACTAAGCTTTGTCAGTGATGTAATGCACTAGGTGATCTACTCCTTTCCAAAGGCATTATGGGAGAGGCAGAGGGAGAAAACATTGACAATGCATTCCCAGAGCAGGAGAGAGAGAGAGAGAGATGGTATGGAGTGATTTCAGTGCCAACAGAAATTGTATTGGAATTCCATCATTTTGAATTTGTGTTAGGATATTGAATTTGAATGTAATATTTTTGTATTTGTAATGCACAATTGAATCATTGAATTCGTAAATGTAACTTGTATTTCATGATTTGAAACTGAATGAATATTGCATTCAGTTTTAAAATTCAATTTGAAATTAATTGAATATTCAAATTAATTATTTATATATTCATTTTCAATATGGTAGGTATTGCATTCATTGTCAAGTTTACAAACTACTGTGGTGCCCCCGGTGATGTGGTCGGGGAAAGCCACTGTCTAGCATTTCAACTGTTTTGGCTATAAGCTATTATGAAAAGGAGCTAATACTCTTCTCGTTGTCAGGACCTCTGCCTCACAAACACACTTGACCACCCTCCTTGTCAACGTACCAACCGTTTGAGATATCGAAACATATCAAGCTAACTGTGGAGTGAGCTTACGGTACGCTCTTCAATTTATGAAATCAATGATTCAATTTGTGCATTACAAATTCAGAAATATTACATTCATATTCAATATCCTAATACAAATGCAAAATTATGCAATTCAAATAAAATTGGCAATGAAATCACTCCATAGATGGAAGGAGAGAGAGATAGGAGATGAGACAAACTAGCAGAAGGCAGACTGAGAGAGGAAGCGAGAAACACGCATACAGTACCAGTCAAAAGTTTGGACTCACCTACTCATTCAAGGGTTTTTCTTTATTTTTACTATTTTCTACATTGTAGAATAATAGTGAAGACATCAAAACTATGAAATAACACATATGGAATCATGTTTCATTTCCTTCTTAATGCGTTTGAGCTAATCAGTTGTGTCGTGACAAGGTAGGGTTGGTATACAGAAGATAGCCCTGTTTGGTAAAAGACCAAGTCCACATGATGGCAAAAACAGCTCAAATAAGCAAAGAGAAACGACAGTCCATTACTTGAAGACATGAAGGTCAGTCAATCCGGAAAATGTGAACGTTTCTTAAAGTGCAGTCGCAAAAACCATCAAGCGCTATGATGAAACTGGCTCTCATGAGGACCACCACAGTAAAGGAAGACCCAGAGTTACCTCTGCTGCAGAGGATAAGTTCATTAGAGTTATCAGCCTCAGAATTTGCAGCCCAAATAAATGCTTCACAAAGTTCAAGTAACAGACACATCTCAACATCAACTGATCAGAGGAGACTGCGTGAATCGGGCCTTCATGGTCGAATTGCTGCAAAGAAACCACTACTAAAGGACACCAATAAGAAAAAGAGACTTGCTTGGGCCAAGAAACACAAGCAATGGACATTAGACCGGTGGATACCTGCCGTTTGGTCTGATGATTTTTGGTTCCAACTGCCATGTCTTTGTGAGATGCAGAGTAGGTGAACGGATGATCGCCACATGTGTGGTTCCCTCTGTGAAGCATGGAGGAGGAGGTGTGATGGTGCTTTGCTGGTGACACTGTCTGTGATTTATTTAGAATTCAGGGCACACTTAACCAGCATGGCTACTACAGCATTCTGCAGCGATACGCCATCCCGTCTGGTTTGCACTTAGTGGGACTATATATATTTTTTCAATAGGACAATGACCCAACACACCTCCAGGCTGTGTAAGGACTATTTGACCAAGAAGGAGAGTGATGGACTGCTGCATCAGATGACCTGGCCTCAACAATCACCCGACCTCAACCAAATTGAGATGGTTTGGGATGAGTTGGACTGCAGAGTGAAGGAAAAGCAGCCAACAAGTGCTCAGCACATGTGGGAACTCCTTCAAGACTGTTGGAAAAGCGTTCCAGGTGAAGCTGGTTGAGAGAATGCCAAGAGTGTGCAAAGCTGTCATCAAGACAAAGGGTGGCTACTTTGAAGAATCTCAAATATAAAATATATTTTGATTTGTTTAACACTTCTTTGGTTACTACATGATTCCATATGTGTTATTTAATAGTTTTGACATTTTCACTATTATTCTACAATGTAGATAATAGTAAAAAAAAATAAAAAAAAAAAAATTTGAATGAGTAGATGTGTGTCCAAACTTTTGACTGGTACTGTATATGCACAGTACAGACATGCACGCGCGCACAGAGGACGCATGCACCCATGCACGCAAACATGAATGCACACACACACACACAGATACTGTTAAAACAGGGTTAAGAGAGTTTGGTAGCTGAGAGAGTTGGGTAGCTGAAAAGGAGCACTTGCATCAATGAGTGTTGACATCTTCACTGGCATCCATATTTTTACAGACAAGTACCTTGACCACTCATCATACTGACTCAGTCTCCCAATCAGGCACAGAAAAGTGCAAGTTCAAAAGCCAGTGCATTTGTTTATCCAGTGCATCTACTGTATTCATGTCATCCTAACTCCTATACACACTTCTCCTCTCTAATATCCAATCTCGTACAAGCAAGACCCCCATCCGGTTTGTTTACACCTAGCGTTGACAACAGGGGCTCCACAACAACATTACTCCATTGAGAAACATGAGTCACTCCACTTCTCTCTTGACTCTGCCCTTTCATTTTTCTCTCTCTCCTGAATTCCACAATGATTCAATGACATGACTGCATGCATAATACATTAGAACATCTCTCTCTTTCTCTCTCTCTCTCTCTCTCTCTCTCTCTCTCTCTCTCTCTCTCTCTCTCTCTCTCTCTCTGTTCTAAGACTCTAGTTGAATTTGGACCTTGAAGCGTCAATGTTGCCAAACCTGACAAATGCACCCCTTTGATTGACAGTGGGGTTGCCACATTATTGTTGTCAAATCTAATTAAACACAGCCAATAGACTGCTGTGGTTGTGGAAATACGCCCCCATTCCCTACTGTTATGCTTTGCATGATGCCCAACCAGCGCCCTGTAGAGAAACATCAAAATAATTTAGTCTCTCTCTTTATTTCTCTTCTTCTCTGTCACCCTCAGTTCATCAGCAGAACACAACATATTCATAATAGTGGGTTTTTGTAGGATAGAATGGCAATATTTGCACTGTGTTTGCTAGTCTGCTTCATTTTAAATGAAAATGTCTCAAGAACTTGCTAAAAGTAAATGAGGAACCAACTGCTCACTATTACCAAGTACTATTTGTACTGTAGATCAAAGATGAGGTCTTGATTCGGGTGTCACTAAACTCATCCAAGTAATTAGCTAGGCTTGTTCCTTTACGCTGATGTGTGTCAGATAACGATCCAAGTCAATTTACAAAAACTACCCACTGCTTTTTCTTACCTACTGATTTCCCCACACACACACGTTGTTCAGGTGAATGAATTGAACACCACTCATCCCCCTCACTGATGAAAGGAATGGGTAGATCACATAGATAAAGAGAGTAATGATCAAGAAAAGGGGGTCAGAGACGGGATAATTGATGCAGACAAGGAAACAGAGGGGTAAGTGGAGGGGGTGGAGGGTGGGTCAGAGGGGGGTTGGGTTAGTGACTCACTCCGTCTGCGCTGGGGCATGCTGGTGCGGGGCGGCCCCTGGTACTGGCTCTGCCAGGGGGAGAGGAAGGGGGCGGGCAGCAAACCCTGCACAGAGAAAAGACAAAGGAGGCATGACGTACATGCACATAGAGAGAGGTCCTATACATGTGAGAGTATGGCTTTATTTAGAGACACGCTCCTGGTCACCGCTCTTTCAGAGCACTTAAACAGACAAACACACACACACAGTCCCTGAACTCTACAAGACATCCAGCCATGTTGTGAGCGAGTGTGTGAGTAGGAAGTATGACATCAACAAGCATGAAAAAAACATACTGTTAACATGCTTACCTATTCCTCTCTATTTCCCTGCTCTAGGACATCAATGCAAATGTATTCCCTTTTTGAAAGGCATTCAAATGAAATTGCATGAGGTACTTATGTGAACCTCCCTGCAATATCTCCTTCCTTTCTTTTCCATCTCTGTGTCTCTCACTCACTTGCTTTCCCACTGTCTGTTACATTTAGCTCTGAAGAATCAGACTGACTGTTTGTCTGTGTGTGAGGGTGAATGCCTGTCCTCAATAACCGGCCCAATCCCACCTGAACAGTCTCAAACTGTGCATAAAGATAAAAGCATCCTGGGTAGAAGAGGAGAGAAGGGCTGCAGGCGCTTCATTAACCAGAGATGACTGTCAACAGGTAATCTCTTTCTCCTGACTGTTTGGTCTAGCTCTTAAATTGGCCAAATCTCCTCAAGCTGAGAGGGATGGATAGGCATAGAGTGAGAGAGACTGGAGTTTCTGGGAGGCCCAAGCTATTTCAGAGACAACCGCAGTTAGGGAAGTGGAGGAAAAATGAGGTTTCTGATCGACTTCCTCCCTATTTTTCCTGTACTACACAATTACAGCAGGACCCTTCTGCGCTGCCACCTGCCACGGCTTAATTTGCAGAAAGGAAGGTTTGAAATGGGAAAGAGAGCCTGGGCTAACTCGGCTAGCCTAGCACTGACAGTGGCTGGCATTTTCATTGGGCTGTCTCAGCTCAGGGCGAGCTTTCCTGTCTTCATCTTACAATCTGGTGTGAAGACGTAGCTACTTCCCAGTTCTGACAGGTCTAGGGGAAACCCTTTATGTGAGGAGTATGGAATTTTCTTTCATTAAGAAGTACGAGCAAAGAACTAGCAATAATCATAATGGTGTTTTGTATGGAAAGTTTCCCTTGCCATCAAACACACAAGTAGGCTAACTCTATAAACTACCTTGAACTCTACCAGAGTTATTAGATGGATTTGTCATTAGAACGCTTAAAGTATTTTGGCCTAACATGTCAGTGTGAAACACTCATAAATTGTGCAAATTGTTGTTGATTTGAATAATGAAGTGCTAGCAAAGCATTAGCCGTTGTGCTAGTAAAGCGTTAGCTTCCCCTTTCATCTTATAAGCTGGTGTGAGTCCTTATTTGAGGAACATGTTGTCATTGCTCATTACAAATTGTCAAGGCATTAGCAGCTCTGCTAGCAGTGTCCTGAAGGATGTCATGGCTGGCTTGACAAATCTTACTTTAACTCCCCTAATCATCCACTACATTAAAGACTTTCAGCTAGATTGAGGATAATAACAAGAGATACAACCAAGGTCTGTACATTACTTTTTACTTCGGTAGTTCTGGCAATTACAATTGCACCTGTCTGATATTATGAAGTTGATTTTCAAAGCAGCGTTTTAGTGGTAGCTGTGGGCAGGGCAGTGAGTGTGGAATCTCTGGGGGTGGGAGAGAGAGGCGGTATGGTGGACTAATGTCAGGACCGCTCTGTGAAAACCACCCATCATTTAAGATTACAATAATAATAAGCCATTTAGCAGACGCTTTTATCCAAAGCGACTTACAGTCATATGTGCATACATTTTTACGTATGGGTGGTCCCGGGGATTGAACCCACTACCCTTGCGTTACAAGCGCCATGCTCTACCAATTGAGCTACAGAGGACCACATATGCTGGACACAAGCTGTTCTGTCATTGCCTGTCTCTCTCTCTCTCCCTCTCTTACTCTACAAACCAACCTCCTGTTGACAGAATGACAAGAGCATTGTGTCTGATTACAGCAGATAATGATAGAAAGAAAGAAAAAGGAAGAGAGACAGAGCAAAATAAAAGAGAGAAAGTTGTAGGAGGAGAGCGAGAGAGGTAGACAGAGGGGGTGTAGCAGTCATTAGCCTTTTGTCTTTGTCTGATGAAACACAAGGTTTTGCATTCGATTATTCTACCTGCCGGCACTTGTTTGCTTGTTTGTTTTAATGAGGCCGTTCGGTATTCCCCTGTTTACTAAACCCTTTGTTCAGAGATCTTCTACTTTCCTTTGTACTATATCTATCCTGCAACTTCCATGCATGCACACACACACTCTGTCTCTCTCTATCTCACTCTAATCACTGCATTGCGTTAACAGTAGGGTTGGGCGATTTTACGATTGCATCATCTATCAACGATGTTTGACAGCCATTGTCGATGGTGACGACATAATGATGTCAGATTTAGCATATTTGAACATCACTGCACAGCCGGAGTCTGACAGCACACAACAGCACAGCACAGTGAGCATACAGCAGGGCGACATGCCAAATGGCCTATTCCCTAATTGCCATAGTCTAAATTGTCAATCCATGTGGTAGTGGTCCCTTGTGGCTCAGTTGGTAGAGCATGGTGCTTGCAATGTCAGGGTTGTGGGTTTGATTCCCATGGGGGACCAGTACGAAAACGTATGCACTCACTACTGTAAGTCGCTCTGGATAAGAGCGTCTGCTAAATGACTCAAACTTAGTTATACTATAGAGTGGTGAAAAGGAGGAGCCTACTGTGTCCGGAAGCGATTTTTCTGTATTCAGGTTTCACTCAAACATAATTTTAAGCTTTGGTTTTACTATTGACAGTTGCAGCTTATTTCGGGATTGTATATTGATTCGCTCTCCTTAAATATAAGTAATCTGATTTATTTGTTTCAGTCTCTGAATAGTTTAATCAAACTTTTCCCTGCCAGCTCCTGATATCAGGGCATAAAAACTACAATCTGTCTCCTGAATTGCCAAACTTCATAAATACTGCACCCTCAACTTCAAAACTCCTTTGCTACTTATATAATCATGTAACTAAGAAATTCGCTGGAAATAAACTTGAAAACGATTTATTGTTTTATTATTTTGTTGAATATTCATGACTGGTTTGAGATATCTGTCGTAAGACGACAGTGGCAAAGGATATCATTGCTACTCAAGGGTTAGCTGGACATTTCTGACAGGTCTTGGAACTGTGACAACGGGCAGCCTCTCCCCGCTTGGCTCGATGGGATATGTAGTTATTTTGCCAACACAGCCAGATACAGTGCCTTCAGAAAGTATTCATACCCGTTGACTTTTTCAAACATTTTGTTGTGTTACAGCCTGAATTAAACATTTATTAAATATCTATATTTTTCTCCCCCATCTACACACAATACCCCATAATGACAAAGTGAAAACATGTTTTTAGAAATGTTTGCTAATACAGAAATATCTCATTTACATAAGTATTCACCCCCCTTTTCTACGACACTCCAAATTGAGCTCAAGTGCATCCAATTTCCTTTGATCATCCTTGATATGTTATTACAACTTGAATGGAGTCCAATTCAATAGTTTGGACATGATTTAGAAATAAACACACCTGTCTATACAAGGTTCCACAGTTTACTGTGCATGTCAGAGCAGAAACTATACCATGTAGTCCAAGGAACTCTCTGTAGCTCTCCGAGATAGCATTGTAATGAGGCATATACTGTATCTGGGGAAGGCTATAAAACACTTTCTAGATTGTTAAAAGTTTCCAAGAGCACAGTGGTCTCCATCATTGGGGAAAACATATGAAACTACCCAGACTCTGCCTAGAGCTGGCCGTCCGACAAAACTGAGCAACCGGGCAAGACGGACCTTTAGTCAGGGAGGTGACCAAGAACCCAATAACCACTCTTGACAGAACTACAGAGTTCATTGGCTGAGATGGGAGAACCTGCCAGAAGGACAACAGTCTCTACAGCACTTCACCAATCTGGGCTTTATGGGAGAGTGGCCAGATGGAAGCCTCTCCTGAGAAAAAGGCACATGACAGCAAGCCTGGAGTTGGCAAAAAGGCATGGGAAAGAGCATAAGGCAAAATATTCTGTGGTCTGATGAGACAAAAATGTAACTCTTTGGCCTAAATGCAAAGAGCTATGTCTGAAGAAAACCAGGCACAGCTCATCACCCGTCTAACACCATCCCTACCGTGATGCATGGTGGTGGCAACAGCACTTCACTGGAACTAAGGGGCCTAGCCCGAACCATGAAAAACAGCCCCAGACCATTATTCCTCCTCCACCAAACTTTACAGTTGGCACTATGCATTCAGTCAGGTAGCGTTCTCCTGGAATCCGCCAATCTCAGATTCGTCTGTCGGACTGCTAGATGGTGAAGCGTGATTCATCACTCTAGACAACACGTTTCCACTGCTCCAGAGTCTAATAGCGGCTAGCTTTACACCACTCCAGCCACGCTTGGCATGGCGCATGGTGATCTCAGGCTTGTGTGCGGCTGCTCGGTCATGGAAACCCATTTGATGAAGCTCCCGACGAACAGTCCTTGTGCTGACGTTGCTTCCAGAGGCAGTTTGGAACTCGGTAGTGAGTGTTGCAACCGAGGACAGATGATTTTTATGCGCTGCGCACTTCACACTCGGCGGTCCCGTTCTGTGAACTTGTGTGGCCTACCACTTCGCGGCTGAGCCGTTGTTGCTCCTAGACTTTTCCACTCCACAATAACAGCACTTACAGTTGACCGGGGCATCTCTAGCAGGGCAGACATTTTACGAACTGACTTGTTGGAAAGGATGCATCCTATGATGTTGCCACGTTGAAAGTCACTGAGCTCTTCAGTAAGGCCATTCTACTGCCAGTGTTTGTCTATGGAGATTGCATGGCTGTGTGCTCAAATTTTATACACCTGAAATAGCCGAATCCACTAATTTGAAGGGGTCTCCACATACTTTGGTATATATAGTGTACCTCACTACCTGGAAATACATGGATGTGTGCACAGCACTCATTCAAAAGTATTCCTCGTTGAGAGACCAGACACGGAAGGGATGTATAAGATTTCTTCAATTTTCCTACTCACATTAATTCACACTAATAACCTTTTTACACCATAATCTGCTGGCTTGGATATTTTATTTCCACATTGTTTATTCCATTATATTTCCAGCAGCTTAACAAGACCATCTCTAGTTTTATGATTGACTAAGTCTGCTCCTCTGACCTCGGTCCCAATAATCCATCATGACATTTATCATGTACCCTTTACAGTATGCAGCCGTTCTAATTATATTTACGCTAATCCAGCCTTTTTATTACACACCGTCCAATTTAAGGTCTCAAGGACACTGCAGCCATTTTGCTCCTCCCCTACTTCCTCAAAGAAGATCCAAGTGGGCTGTATGTCACAGACAGGGTATGTATTTCCCAGTATGGCAAATAAATAAATGCAAAGTTAGTAGTAATACTGTGTAAGGTGTGCTCAGTTGTTAACTTACTGTTTGAAGTATGACTTGATTACCCACTAGGCACACACTGGTTGAATCAACGTTGTTTCCACGTCATTTCTGGTTGAATCAACGTTGTTTCCATGTCATTTCATTGAAATTACGCTGAACCAACGTGGAATAGACGTTGAATTGACGTCTGTGCCCAGTGGTTAACCTTAATATTTAGTATTTCTATGCTTTAATTTTTACTTCTTACAGTGTGTAAAGTTCCCATCACCTACCATAAGAATAGAGGGGAATCCCTTTGTGGATGAGAGCCACGTCCAACTCTTCCTGGGTGGAGAAGAGCTACTCACTGAAGAGCCGGGTCCATTTCCTTTTTAATGAGTATGCAACATCAGTGAAAAGCACTATGCTATGCATTCAGAAATGTGTTCCGGGGGAGGGGGGTTTAATTACCAACAAATGTTGAATGGCAAACTTTTTGCTGTAGAGAGGGATAGGGGAGACCAGAGCACAAAGTAATGCGAGGTCAGTTGTAAAAGCCAAATTACTCAAATTAGAAACCACTTAGAAGGCTGGTATTTGATGTGCTAATGCTTTGTTAGTGTCTCTACATGCCTATGAATTTTGTTATTGACCTGTGAAATATTCTCCATCTATCTAAACATATATTTTTTTCAGTAAGATGGGGTCTTTTGATTGGTATAGTTGATGACAATAAATATCATTGTATTTTTAGTATAAGCATCTCTTGTTATCGATACACATCAAATATAAATGTTTGTCAACGGTTGACATTGTACTTTATTTATTTATCGCATATTTGTGTCTCTGTGACTTCCAAAGTCAATAAAATGAATTTGTGACTTAAAAAGTTTGCCACTCAATATAATTTGTCTTATTATTGTTAATATTATTATTACTACTATTATTCACAATAGACTACATTTTACATAAAAGGTTCCTTTATGAACCTTAAAACCCTAGGTTCTTTGAGGCCCCTTCCTGGAGGCGCCTCCAGGAATCTTTTCACTTAATCAGATTTTCTTTCAATGAGAATGACAGATCTAAACTATATATACAAAAGTATGTGGACACCCATTCAAATTAGTGGATTCGGCTATTTCAGCCACACCCGTTGCTGACAGGTGTATAAAATCGAGCACACAGCCATGCAATCTCCATAGACAAACATTGGCAGTAGAGTGCTGAAGTGCATAGCGCATAAAAATGGATCAGTGGAAACGCGTTCTCTTGAGTGATGAATCATGCTTCACCATCTGGCAGTCCGACAGACGAATCTGGGATTGGCAGATGCCAGGAGAATGCTACCAGCCCCAATGCATAGTGCCAACTGGAAAGTTTGGTGAAGGAGGTTTTTCATGGTTCGGGCTAGGCCCCTTTGTTCCAGAGAAGGGAAATCTTAACGCTACAGCATACAATGACATTCTAGACGATTCCGTGCTTCCAACAGTTTGGGGAAGGCCCTTTCCTGCTTCAGCATGACTATGCCCCTGTGCAAAGAGATGTCCATACAGAAATGATTTGTTGAGATCGGTGTGGAAGAACTTGACTGGCCTGAACAGAGCCCTGACCTCAACCCCATCGAACACCTTTGGGAAGAATTGGAAAGCCGATTGCGAGCCAAATCGCCCAACATCAGTTCCCGACCTCACTAATGCTCTTGTGGCTGAATGGAAGCAAGTCCCTGCAGCAATGTTCCAACATCTAGTGGAAAGCCTTCCCAGAAGAGTGGAGGCTGTTATAGCAGCAAAGGGGGGACCAACTCCATATTAATGCCCATGATTTTGGAATTAGATGTTTGACGAGCAGGTGTCCACATACTTTTAATAATGTAGTGTATGACACACATTTCTATGTGAATTTCTTCTGGTCGTGCACAAAGCTACATACTGGACCTTGTACATAATGCAGAACAATGTAGATTGTAGAAAGAAAGGAGAGCATCAAAGCACCGCAAAATGTCAGATATCTGTTTTTCCCCCTCTCCTCTCCAATGTCAGATGATCATGGGCATTTTGCAGCAGACACTCTGTTATCTGGTTTATTGTTTTCAAATCTTAATTTCCCTTTTTCTCCCTAAACCCCTAATCATGATCAACCATCGAATGAATCTATAGGCCTAACGGAGTTCCATCTCATAAAGTTGTTTGTAATTAGCCTAAATAAAAACAAAGTACTGTAATAACGACAGAGAACAAACAATTGAAATAGGAAGTTGAATAGGAAGTTGAAACAAACCTGATACCTTTCTGCATTACTTGACCAAAGTGTAGGCAACATAAATTGTGCAGTTGGAAAATCCCTCCTTACAGACCAAACAGTCAATAATATAGGCCTACACATAGGCTACTGTCAATAAAAGTTCAGTAAACGTACTTTGCCAACGCATGAAGTAATATTTATAATATTGTCAAAGTGTTTATTAATGTCCTTGAATTGAGCAACGGCAATCGGACATAATCTCCTGCAGCAGCACATTCAATAAGCGGGAACAAAAAATAAATGATTAGTTGGAGTAGTCTCACGAACAACTTTATTTTGAATAGCTTACAAATGGTGCATTCATATAAAAGTCCTCAACAATCAGACAAAAAAAATGATTTAGCCTATAACATTCTTTATAACACTTTAATGAATATTGGCTTAAGGTAAAAACCAATAAGCCTAATATTCTTAGGCCATGCCTTTTGTCTATCTAACTATAACAATTCTAAATATACAATCAGATGAAACAAATTATTTATAACATTCTTTATATCAAGGAACGCCAGCAGCATCTTCACCACAAGAGTAGCGAACTCAGCAGGATGACAGAGGTTTGTAGTCTGTCCATCCTTTGCCCTGATAATCTTTCATCATATTCTGCAAGTGATTTGGGTTAGGTCTGCTGACTCACCTCTATCATTCAGCCTGAAACCAAGGAACTGTCAAACAGGCGAAGACGTGCTTTTCTTTCCCACCAAGTCAGCCATTGTTTCGTTATTTTCTGATTTAGCTAAGGCAGACTATACTATAGTTACTAAGTGAAATTCTGCAACATTCCTTTTTTGTTTTTTTACAGTCTGAAACTGTCAGAAAGTAGCTTAATGGAAGAAACAATGTCACAAATCTGCTTACCCAGATTATCAAGATAAAATAACAATAGCCTACACTTGATACGGCTATAATATTTGTTTTTAAAAGGTAGGCTAATATAACTGATATCTGAGTATTTTTATGGACAAGAGAAACATAGCTCTCCCAATTTGAAAATCATTCTGCAGCCTGGACTCAATCAAAGGTAACTAGGTCTAACACTTTTGTTTTGAACAATGATTTAATGAGATTGTTTGTGGTTTTTGTAACAATTTAAATAAGAAAAATGACATTATGCACCAAATCACAGTTCTGGTATAACCAATGTGTCCTTTATATTGCGTTCTTCCCAGTGTCTGGTCTGGAACGTGAAGTCACAAGCTCTGCTGGTGACTGCGTAGCAACTAAGCAGTGCCAAAAACCCTGGTCTGCCCTAGAAAGCCTACACTATGTAAATTACAATCGCCAGAACGGCCAAACCCCCAAAAAATTGACGCCCGTTTTGGGCTCTAAAACTTGTTTATTTTGATCAAGTTCGCTGTGAATTATTTAAAAGTTTGCTACAAATCTAGATATTTAATTAAATAATGATCCATTCTGACTACTAAATATGTTGTCACACAGGACCACTTGCTGACACAGACCAATCACAGGCCGCCAGGCTACAAAGAGGCTCGCGCCTGGTTGGTTGACTCTCTCAGGCAGGATGAAAACGACTACTGTACATCGACCATGATCCTTTGCTAGTTACGGCAACTTTCACCATGATCCGTAGCAATTTGTTGTTGCCATTCAGCCCCATTGAACAATACGGCACGCTTCAAATTCAAATACTTCCGGCTTCATGAGCCATCGGGAGTTTTCCATATGATTACGTGGATGACGTCAGCACTATCACTATCTACTGGTTTTAATGGTTCTTCCCGCCAATTGACCCCTCCGTGCGCAACGATGTTTGGACAGGACGATGGGACGATGTGTCATTCCATACATTGCCCCAACCCTAGTTAACAGTGTATCAATTAAGCCACGGGAACTTAAGAGTTATATCTAATAACATGGGTACCCTTCATGTCTTCCGAAGTTACAGTGGACTACGTTAAATCTATCAAAGTGTGGCATGTAGAAATTATCCAATTCCATAACAGTTTAGACATTTAAAAGCCCTAACAACATCCTGGTCATTGGACAGTAGTAGTGTTATGCATTGGGTAAACCCATACAGAGGGACTAGAAGGCAGGCCACAGGATTTCACACATTAACAGTAGTGGTAGGAACTAAGGAGAAGATATACCAAATATTCCACCTGCTCCAACAGCCCTTTGAACTGTGAGGGGAGAGAGGGAGGGAGTGGGAGAGAACATACAGATGCAGAGAGGATGGGAAGTGCAAACTGCAGTACAGCATCAAATGTGCAAAACTAAACAGTTTGAAACTTGTAACTTTGAGATAGTCTGAAACGAAGAGAAAAAAGAGAGAGAAACACCCTGCGGTGGCATCTGATTTCTGTTTGTTTACCCTCTTCTTTTTTCCTCTACTCATCATAAACCAATGCACCATATTCCTCCTAACCTTTCAGAGCAATTTGGAAAATGTCAGTTATCATTATAGACTGTGTTTCCCTACAAAGAGTTTTTGATAGAAGCAAAACCATCACACAACCGGATGTAATGGTGGATAAAAAGAAAGCAACAGAAAGAGAGAGGGAACATCAGATGGAGAAGTAGAATAATGAAATGGGGAAAGAATAAGTGAGATTGAGACATACAAAGGTAAAATAAGAAGTCACTACACCTGTACGTGTGTAGATGGCTGAGGGCTGACGGCTTGTATCAAACACACAGTCATTCTCACCATCCATCAAGTGGTTCCACTATATAGGGCAATGGTGATGGGGTGGGGCTAGGGAGAGGGAATTTGGCAATGTAGTACCAGTGATAGGTGAGAGAGTAAGTTGAATGGGAGTTAATGGGAGGATAGTGTGAGGGTGGGGACTATAGGTGATGGACTGGCTTGATGACTGACTATAGTATGCAGCAGTGGACAGATTTAGGTCTCCACTCTCCAGGTATATATGGGTGTACTCACGGCTTGGCTGTGTCCTTGTCCTCTCCAGGAGGTCTGTGTGGCCTTGTCGTGGTGCGTACGTCTGTCCCCCCCGAGTGACGGTGCCCTCTGGTGGCAGTGACACCTCCCTGGCTTGGCAGCATGGGCAGGCTGGGGGAGGAAAGAGAGAGAGTTACCACTACTGTGTCAGGAAAATACAATAACAAATGAATGATCTACTAATGTGAGTTGGTATTCAAAAACTGCATGAGTGAAACTGATTTCTGAGTCTTTGGGTTCTAATGAAGATACAAAAACAGTCTCTAGTCTAGACATGACTAGTAGACCCCATTAACTCTATGACCAACCACCCTTTGCTAACGACTGAAACAGAACATCTGCAGCTCTGCATCAACTGCTGACAAAGCAGACACACAAACTCGAATGTCAAAACGTAAAGTATTTTGGCAGCTCACCCCACAGAGAATTCAGCATTTCTTTCTCCCTTTATCTGGCTCATTATATCATTCTCTCTATCTGTCTCTCTGTAATTCTCTCTATCCCCTTCACTCTATTATTCTATCTCTCATTATCCGGCTCTCATCTAATATATTCCATTATATAACTCCCTTAATCGTTCTCTCTGTGCCCTTAGTAATTCTTTATTATTGTCTCTGCCTGTCTCTCCCTGTCTCTCTCGGTTTCTCTGAATCCTTCCCTACTGCAATTCATCCTCTCTCCATCTTTTCTATCCATCTCTCTCTCGCTTGCCTTTTCCCTCTCTCAGTTCTTAAAGTTCAGACAGGGATCTGCAAATATCCAGACACTGTTTGCATGTGTGAGGTTAGCGGTGGCAGAATTGTGAGGGAGAGAAGAGCGGTGCTCTGTGGCCTTTTCTTATTAGAATTGGGAGAGCTAGAGAGGTTCGAACACTGAAGTTGCTCTGACATTTTCTATTACTGTTTCTCACTGCAACTCCCCTCCAAGTCTCCGACCACTACTTTGTATCCTTTTCTCTCTCTCTCGCTCTCCTCCAACACTACTCACTCTGCCCCTACTCAGATGGTAATGTGCAGTCGCAACCTTCACTCTCTCTCCCGCTACTCTCTCCTCTTCATCCTATCATCTCTTCCCTCTGCTAAATCCTTCTCCCTCCGATCTCCTGATTCTGCCACCTCAACCCTCCTCTCCTCCCTTTCTGCATCTTTTGACTCTCTATGTCCCCTATCCTCCCGGCCGGCTCGGTCCTCCCCTCATACTCCGTGGCTTCACGACTCATTGCGAGCTCACAGAAGAGGGCTCCTGTCGGACCTGTCATATTTTCACTCCCTCCTCTCTACATTCTCTTCCTCTGTTTCCACTGCTAAAGCCACTTTCTACCACTCTAAATGTCAAGCCTCTGCCTCTAACCCTAGGAAGCTCTTTGCCACCTTTTGCCTCTCCTCCCTGCTGAATCCTGATCCCCCCACCCCCCCCCTCCCTCTCTGTGGATGACTTCATCAACCATTTTGAAAAGAAGGTTGATGACATCCGATCCTCATTTATTAAGTCAAATGACACCGCTGGTCCTGCTCACACTGCCCTACCCTATGCTTTGACTTCTTTCTCCCCTCTCTCTCCAGATGAAATCTTGCGACTTGTGACGGCCGGCCGCCCAACAACCTGCCCGCTTGATCCTATCCCCTCCTCTCTTCTCCAGACCATTTCCGGAGACCTTCTCCCTTACCTCACCTCGCTCATCAACTCATCCTTGACCGCTGGCCATGTCCCTTCCGTCTTCAAGAGAGCAAGAGTCGCACCCCTCCTCAAAAAACCTACGCTCGATCCCTCCGATGTCAACAAATACAGACCAGTATCCCTTCTTTCTTTTCTTTCCAAAACTCTTGAGCGTGCCGTCTCTAGCCAACTCTCCTGCTATCTCTCTCAGAATGACCTTCTTGATCCAAACCAGCCAGGTTTCAAGACTGGTCATTCAACTGAGACTGCTCTTCTCTGTGTCATGGAGGCTCTCCGCACTGCTAAAGCTAACTCGCTCTCCTCTGCTCTTATCCTTCTAGACCTATCCGCTGCCTTTGAAATAGTGAACCATCAGATCCTCCTCTCCACCCTCTCCGAGTTGGGCATCTCCGGCGCTGCTCACTCTTGGATTGCGTCCTACCTGACAGGTTGCTCCTAACAGGTGGCATGGCGAGAATCTGTCTCCGCAACATGTGCTCTCACCACTGGTGTCCCACAGGGCTCAGTTCTAGGCCCTCTCCTATTCTCTCTATACACCAAGTCACTTGGCTCTGTCATATCCTCACATGGTCTCTCCTATCATTGCTACGCAGACAACACACAATTAATTTTCTTCTTTCCCCCTTCTGATAACCAGGTGGCGAATCGCATCTCTGCATGTCTGGCAGACATATCAATGTGGATGTCAGATCACCACCTCAAGCTGAACCTCGGCAAGACGGAGCTGCTCTTCCTCCCGGGGAAGGACTGCCCGCTCCATGATCTCGCCATCAAGGTTGACAACTCCATTGTGTCCTCCCAGAGTGCAAAGAACCTTGGCGTGACCCTGGACACCCTGTCGTTCTCCGCTAACATCAAAGCGTTGACCCGATCCTGTAGGTTCATGCTCTACAACATTCGGAGAGTACGACCCTGCCTTACACAGAAAGCGGCACAGGTCCTAATCCAGGCACTTGTCATCTCCTGTCTGGATTACTGCAACTCGCTGTTGGCTGGGCTCCCTGCCGGTGCCATTAAACCCCTACAACTTATCCAGAACGCTGCAGCCTGTCTGGTGTTCATCCTTCCCGTGTTCTCTCATGTCACCCCGCTCCTCCGCACACTCCACTGGCTTCCAGTTGAGGCTCGCATCTACTACAAGACCATGGTGCTTGCCTCCGGAGCTGTGAGGGGAACGGCACCTCCTTACCTTCAGGCTCTGATCAGACCCTACACCCAAACGAGGGCACTACGTTCATCCACCTCTGGCCTGCTAGCTCCCCTACCTCTACGGAAGCACAGTTGCCGCTCAGCCCAGTCAAAGCTATTCACTGCTCTGGCACCCCAATGGTTGAACAAGCTCCCCCACGACGCCAGGACAGCAGAGTCACTGACCACCTTCCGGAGACACTTGAAACCCTACCTCTTTGAGGAATACCTGGAATAGTATAAAGTAATCCTAAATGTAAATGTAAATTGTTGTACGGATGCCCTGAAGCCCAAGGCAAAAAAATAAAAAATAAACATGCTCTTGGATTTATCTTGTTTGTTCGACTTTGTATCTTATTTGAACGACTTAGTATCTCACGACTTAGTATCTCGTTCCAATGACTTACTATCTTGTTTGAAAGACATAGTAAAAAAAAGTGTTATTTTATCTAATTAGTTCTCATTTGTTATGCAGCTTTTCAGACAGTGTAATGGTTGCTGCAGCCATTCAATCACTGATTCCATTAATATGATTATTCATTAGTTCTTTGATAGCCTAAAACAGGGCTGCTTTTGAATGCCAGAGCATGTAATTGGGCGAGTGTGGAGCAAGGAACAGAGTTTAATTCAAGCAGATTTAAAAAATGTTGTCAGCCTCCAATTTCGCTCTGGTACTGCTCAGCCACATGCTCTGGGCATGCTCTCCCTAGCATTTTTCATTTCCTTTATCACTATTTTTTAAATTATTAGGCCTATTCGGTTGTAATTATTTAGCCTACCCCACCCACAGTAGTATCTCTAGTTTATTTTCTACTTTCTAACATTAGGATATGTAGTTTCTATTTTGAAGGACTTCAAATGTATTATAGATGTTTCAGGTAGGCAATACATAGACTAATGTAAAATGTATTTTTGGTATTCCTGGATTAGAAACACCATAATATAAATCAATTTAATTAAGCTAAAATATATAAATCGTAAATAATAAAGGACAATAAATCATCTCAAACTGCAACGGTCAAATGATTTGTGCACAGAAGCAAGTACCAACAAGCTTCAAACGTGCACTGAGTGTGGGAAATTAAATATTATTATTATTATTATTATTATTATTATTATTATTATTATTATTATTATTATTATTATATAGACAGGAAAAATACACATGTAAAAGCTTAATAAATAAAAATAGAAAAATACATTGAGATGAAGCCACCTCCATGTGTAGATGTTATTTCTCAAAAATCTATGACATTTAAGTAAGGACCGACACAGAGTCCAGTAGGACAGTGTCACAAGGCTACATAGTCATAGGCCTACACTTTACCACTGCTGGAGGGAATACACAGATGTCCTTGATAGTGAGCTATAATTAAATGTGTGCGACACAAGAGGTAAACACAATTTTTCCATCAATAGAATCAATTTAGGGAGCTATTGTGATATCATAAGGGAATTACTTAGACCGCACTTACTGGTCGGACTAGATATCTCACGCAGTCTGGCAGATAATTAGCCTATGTGAGCACTTTAATAGTAGCCTAAACATACAGTTAAAGTATTCATCGCTGGTTCCTGCTGCGAACAACATGTTTTATTAGCCTACCAGAATCGCCTACAAAAAGAGGTTTGTGATAGCCCTTCAATTGAAAGGTTTAACTTGTTATACAGTGAGGGAAAAAAGTATTTGATCCCTTGCTGATTTTGTACGTTTGCCCACTGACAAAGAAATGATCAGTCTATAATTTTAATGGTAGGTTTATTTGAACAGTGAGATACAGAATAACAACAAAAAAATCCAGAAAAACGCATGTCAAAAATGTTATAAATTGATTTGCATTTTAATGAGGGAAATAAGTATTTGACCCCCTCTCAATCAGAAAGATTTCTGGCTCCCAGGTGTCTTTTATACAGGTAACGAGCTGAGATTAGGAGCACACTCTCAAAAGGAATGCTCCTAATCTCAGTTTGTTAACTGTATAAAAGACACCTGTCCACAGAAGCAATCAATCAATCAGATTCCAAACTCTCCACCATGGCCAAGACCAAAGAGCTCTCCAAGGATGTCAGGGACAAGATTGTAGACCTACACAAGGCTGGAATCGCCAAGCAGCTTGGTGAGAAGGTGGCATGGGCCCACCCACTGGGGAGCGTGGCACAGCCCACAAAAGGGGAAATTGTGGGGACAGAAATTACAGACTGAAATACTCCTCAGTTTCATCAGCTGTCTGGGTGACTGGTCTCAGACAATCCCGCAGGTGAAGAAGCCGGATATGTAGGTTCTGGGCTGGCGTGTTTACAAATGGTCTGCGGTTGTGAGGCCGGCTGGACATACTGCCAAATTCTCTAAAACAACGTTGGAGGTAGCTTATGACATGATTCTCAGGCAACAGCTCTGGGGACATTCCTGCAGTCAGCATGCCAATTGCACGCTTCCTCAAAACTTGAGACATCTGTGGCATTATGTTGTGTGACAAAACTGCACATTTTAGAGTGGCCTTTATTGTCCCCAGCACAAGGTGCACCTGTGTAATAATCATGCTGTTTAATCAGCTTCTTGATATGCCACACCTGTCAAGTGGATGGATTATCTTGGCAAAGTAGAAATGCTCAGTAACAGGGATGTAAACACATTTGTGCACAACATTTGAGAGAAATCAACTTTTTGTGCGTATGGAACATTTCTGGGATCTTTTATTTCAGCTCATGAAACATGGGACCAACACTTTACATGTTGTGTTTATATTTCTGTTCAGTATATAGTCCATTCTCCTTTCACTTGTTTATATTATGGCTAGATTTCCACTGATATTCCTTTATTTAATTAAGCTTTCACATGTGTATTTTTCTGTCTTTATAATAGTAATAATAATAATAACAATAATAATACTACTACTTAATTTGTAGAGCGCATTTCCCACACTTAATGCAGATGTGAAGCTTGGTGGCGCTTGCTTCTGTGAGCAAATCATTTGACCGTTGCAGTTTGAGATTATTTATTCCCTTTCATTTATGAAAATAAACTGATTCTGGCCTTTATTATTTAAGATTTATTCATGATATTTTAGCTTCATTAAATATATTATTATTATATTATGGTGTTTCTACATTTTACAGTAGCCTATGTATTGCCGACCTGAAACATGCATAAGTGAAGTCCTTCAAAATAGAAACTACATATCCTAATGTTAGAAAGTAGAGTATAAACTAGATACAGGCTACTGTGGGTGGGGTAGGCTAAATAATTATAACCGAATAGGCCTAATTAAAAGTAATAGTGATAAAGGAAACAAAAAATGCTAGGCAAAGCATGCCTAGAGCTTGTGGCTGAGCAGTACCAGAGCAAAATTGGAGCGGGAGAGAAGGCCGACACCATTTTCAAAATCTGCTCAAATTACGCTTTGCTCCTCGCTCCACTCTCGCCCACTTACATGATCTGGCATTCAAAAAGAGCCCTGCTTTAGGCTATCAAAGACCTGTCAATGATTAATCGTATCAATTGATGGAATCAGTGAATGAATGGCTGCAGCAACCATTACACTGTCTGACAAGCTGCATAACAAATTAGGCCTAATTAGACACATTTTTGTTTTTACTAAGTCGTTCAAACGAGATACAAAGTCGTTCAAACAAGTCTACATTTTGATTGTATTTTTTTTGCCTTGGGCTTCAGGGCTTCCATACATTTACTATTACTGTACATGGGGAATTTGAATAATGTCAGTGGACAATTTGTTTTTTTGCCTAACGAGACCACTAGGCCCTGAACACTAATACGTTATAACACTGATGGATCCAGGTAAAAGCTAACAGAACTGAGGTTACCATTCCCACACACAGTGGGGAGAACAAGTATTTGATACACTGCCGATTTTGCAGGTTTTCCTACTTAAAAGCATGTAGAGGTCTGTAATTTCCATCATAGGTACACTTAAACTGTGAGAGACGGAATCTAAAACAAAAATCCAGAAAATCACATTGTATGATTTTTAAGTCATTAATTTGCATTTTATTGCATGACATAAGTATTTGATCACCTACCAACCAGTAAGAAATCCGGCTCTCACAGACCTGTTCGTTTTTCTTTAAGAAGCCCTCCTGTTCTCTACTCATTACCTGTATTAACTGCACCTGTTTGAACTCGTTACCTGTATAAAAGACACCTGTCCACACACTCAATCAAACAGACTCCAACCTCTCCACAATGGCCAAGACCAGAGAGCTGTGTAAGGACATCAGGGATAAAATTGTAGACCTGCACAAGGCTGGGATGGGCTACAGGACAATAGGCAAGCAGCTTGGTGAGAAGGCAACAACTGTTGGTGCAATTATTAGAAAATGGAAGAAGTTCAAGATGACGGTCAATCACCCTCGGTCTGGGGTCCATGCAAGATCTCACCTCGTGGGGCATCAATGATCATGAGGAAGGTGAGGGATCAGCCCAGAACTACACGGCAGGACCTGGTCAATGACCTGAAGAGAGCTGGGACCCCAGTCTCAAAGAAAACCATTAGTAACACACTACGCCGTCATTGATTAAAATCCTGCAGCGCACGCAAGGTCCCCCTGCTCAAGCCAGTGCATGTCCAGGCCCGTCTGAAGTTTGCCAATGACCATCTGGATGATCCAGAGGAGGAATGGGAGAAGGTCATGTGGTCTGATGAGACAAAAATAGAGCTTTTTGGTCTAAACTCCACTCGCCGTTTTTGGAGGAAGAAGAAGGATGAGTACAACCCCAAGAACACCATCCCAACCATGAAGCATGGAGGTGGAAACATCATTCTTTGGGGATGCTTTTCTGCAAAGGGGACAGGATGACTGCACCGTATTGAGGGGAGGATGTATGGGGCCATGTATCACGAGATCTTGGCCAACAACCTCCTTCCCTCAGTAAGAGCATTGAAGATGGGTCGTGGCTGGGTCTTCCACACAGCCAGGGCAACTAAGGAGTGGCTCCATAAGAAGCATCTCATGGTGCTCAAGATCTCAAGATCTACCTCCCAAAAATAAAATTTAAAAAAAGAAGCATCTCAAGGTCCTGGAGTGGCCTAGCCAGTCTCCAGACCTGAACCCAATAGAAAATCTTTGGAAGGAGCTGAAAGTCCGTATTGCCCAGCGACAGTCCCAAAACCTGAAGGATCTGGAGAAGGTCTGTATGGAGGAGTGGGCCAAAATCCCTGCTGCAGTGTGTGCAAACCTGGTCAAGACCTACAGGAAACGTATGATCTCTGTAATTGCAAACAAAGGTTTCTATGCCAAATATTAAGTTCTGCTTCTCTGATGTATCAAATACTTATGTCATGCAATAAAATGCAAATTAATTACTTAAAAATCATACAATGTGATTTTCTGGATTTTTGTTTTAGATTCCGTCTCTCACAGTTGAAGTGTACCTATGATAAAAATTACAGATCTCTACATGCTTTGTAAGTAGGAAAACCTGCAAAATCATCAGTGTATCAAATACTTGTTCTCCCCACTGTATGTAGGTGTCTGACTATGGTATGAGTAAAACCACAACTCCCACATAACCCAATGCATTGTATTGCATTATGAAGGAGGTTGCACTAAGCAGCTGTAGTGCACTGGCAGAGAATGACTGCCATTCTCTCACTGACCCCTCCTGGAGACTCACCCCCTGTTGCTGTAGCTGCTGTTGCTGTAGTGTGAGCTGAGTGATTGTCCTCTCCTTATTCCTCAGCTCCTCCCTGAGCTCCTGCACCTCCTTCATTAGATCCTCCAACTGAAACACACACAGTGGTTAATTTCTAGTCTAAGTCTAACAATGCTACTTGTCTTGGCTCAAAGACCGAAATAGTGTTTTTCCTGGTTGTGTCTTACCTGCAGGGTGATGCTGTTATCTTCTTCACCATCCTCCATCAACAAACACAGAAAAAACACAAAACATAAGATTCTGTATTCTGAACTGTACTATATGGGGCAGATAGGAGCTGTATGGATATTTACATTTTATTATAATGATACTAATAATTTAGTCTCCCGAGTGTCACAGTGGTCTAAGGCACTGCATCGCAGTGCTAGCTGTGCCACTAGAGATCCTGGTTCGAATCTAGGCTCTGTTGTAGCCGGCCGTGACCGGGAGACCCATGGGGCGGCGCACAATTGGCCCAGGGTAGGGGAGGGAATGGCCGGCAGGGATGTAGCTCAGTTGGTAGAGCATGGCGTTTGCAACGCCAGGGTTGTGGGTTTGATTCCCACAGGGGGCCAATATGAAAAAAATGTATGCACTCACTAACTGTAAGTCGCTCTGGATAAGAGCATCTGCTAAATGACTTAAATGTAATTGCTACTAAGTTGGGAGCTTCTTCTGTAGACAGGCTGATAAGGGCCTTGAAGCAGTTTGGTAGACATCAAAATAACTTTTCTCAAATAGAGGGACATGTCCACTGTGCATCCCAAAAACCTGTAATTTTCTGTTTTTGGACGCTCTAGCTAACCTATAGTCAGCTAGGTACACCGATACAGCTTGTTGCTTGTAGCTCAGAGAGATCAATTATGATTAAAGTGGAGATGCATTTTACAGCTGCTGCCCAGAGCACAACATCACAGTTCCAAAGAAACAATTAAGAAGAGAACAACAAACATGGGTACAGATAACCCACATTTATCGCTTTGGTCCCTATCAAAGAAGTACCTTTTTGAAGATAATAAACAGAATCTCAGCTTTGACAAACAAATGCAATTACCATCACAGAAAGTGAACTGTGTGTCACTGTGTGTTTGTCATGTCATGTCAGAGATCATTTTGGGGCACAGTTGACTTGTTTTGGAGGAATGTAATGTGTTGAGGGCTGTGAGGGCAAAGCCAATTCCAACCAGCCTGACACTAAGGTAGATATTGGGGTCCTACAGGGCCAGACATGAGACGCTGTACAGTCAGAGGCTTTACACTACTGATTAACTGTCTCACACATCACATCACTGACTGTGTGTGTGTGTGTGTGTGTTTCTATCTCTCCATTTGTTGAATGGAATGTTTCATCTGATATTGAAAGATCTATTAAGTGATTAGGTACCACAGGTAACCCACAAGGGAGGAGGAGGGTCGTAATAACAGGTAAGAAGAGATGAGTGACACATAGAATAAAACCATGTGCCACAGCTTAACTGTCACCATGTCACTCACTCTCAAGCCATGGGCATGAGACATGTGACATTCTCAGTAAAGCACAGTAAAGCCAGCAGCTATTTTCTATGCTTACATAATATCAAACCAGTTATCTTCTCCAGAAATCTCTCCATCTAAGGAGACGGTACGTGTGGGAGAGATTCAGTGTGTATCTCTTCTACATCCTCACAAGTAGGCCTAAAGGGTCACTGTGGCCGCAATGCAGATTTCTACTGCCTTTAAACTTCAGAAGCCTTCTCTCGCCTGGATGTGTGATAAACTCCTATGAAGCTACTGCTTGATAAAACATCAGCAGCCTCCGTCTAGCGAAATGTAAACTCAAATCCTGACATCATAGTTATTATACTAAAGCGATATTTTATTGGACGCTAAATCTATTTAATTCTAAAAGGAGCTGACAACAGTTACAAGATATGATTTCCACTTGCTTAGTCATAGCTCAAGTCAACTAAGTGATTAGATTGGAATTACATTGAGTTCCCGAGGACTGCATTCGAGCCTTTGAGGGAGTGTGTGTTACCTGTAATAAACTCTTGAGTGTAAGCAGCTGGTTTTTCACAGAGCTGCAGTCCTGGGCCATGTGTTTGAGTGTGAGCTCATCCAGCGCCCCCGTGTGGCCAGTGTGTCTCCCTACAGGAGGAAAAGGCCAGGGGCCTACTCTGAACCCCACAGGACAAGCATAACCATCATCCTGCTGGAACACTGGACTCCTGGGAGTGGGAATGTGTGTGGGGGGGGGGGGGGGGGGAGAGAGAGAGGCAGACAGATAATTATCTTTGCCACATTGACTAGGCGTAAATGGGCAAATTAAGTCATTTACAAAATGCACTCTGGCTTAATCAAGAAAATATCCAATAATTTCTCCATGCAGCTTTATATTCATGATTATCAACTGGGTGGTTCGAGCCCTGAATGCTGATTGGCTGACAGCCGTGGTATACCACAGGTATGACAAAACATTTATTTGTACAGCTCTAATTACATTGGTAACCAGTTTATAATAGCAATAAGGCACCTCGGGGGTTTGTGGTGTATGGCCAATATACCATGGCTAAGGGCTGTATCCAGGCACTGCATGTTGCGTCGTGCATAAGAACAGCCTTTAGCTGTGGTATATTGGCCATATACCACACCCCCTTATGCCTTATTGCTTAAATATAGCACATCTAGTATACTATGTTATGTTTGGTCTTTTTACAATTTCAGTGCTGTAGGATAGCTACTGATTCTCACCTGTTGTCATTGTGGAAGTGGTCCGGTCCATTCCAGTGATGCTGCCTTCTCCTCCAGTGACCTTGTCGTCCCCCCCTCTCTGAGCGTTCAAAATGGGACATCCCGTTAGCGTCTTCACAGAGAGAAAGATAGGTCACGGTCATCCGAATGCCAAGAGTGTGCAAAGCTGTCATCAAGGCAAAGGGTGGCTACTTTGAAGAATCTCAAATATAAAATATATTTTGATTTGTTTAACACTTTTTTGGTTACTACATGATTCCATATATGTTATTTCATAGTTTTGAAGTCTTCACTATTATTCTATAATGTAGAAAATAGTAAAAATAAAGAAAAACCCTTGAATGAGTAGGTGTGTCCAAACTTTTGACTGGTACTGTAAATACATTCATGATTTCTTACTCAAAGCGGGCGGCAGTTCGTGTGCCAAGTATGTAATTACTGTAGGTGAGAGTAGTTTCTGAATGTATCAAGGTTAAGTGTTTCTGTCCCTCTCTTTCTTCCTCTTCCTCTCTTCTTTAACAAGCATCAATGTTCTTGTCATTCCGCTAGGGACCTGTTTTCTCTAGTCAATAACCGGCACAGAGTGTGTACGTTTATCCAGTGTTCCCATTTAATTAGCTAGTAAATTAATAATTAAACCAATTTGTGTAGTGCTGAATCATAAGTAAGGCTCAGGTTTTTGCAGATGCAAGAAGGTTACGACGTTCAGAATGATGATATGATACGAGGTTATGATTAATAAGTTGACTGTTTATAGATGTGATAGGTAACTCTTTAAAGAACCGCTCTCGTGGTGCCCCAGATCGTAATGAGTTAATTGTTACATGATTAATTTAAATCGGGTAACAACTAAACATAGTTTATTAAATAAATAACAGTCCTCAGATGAATGTTAAAGTCCCATCACAACAATGCAAACAGACTCCTGTATACACACAAACATAAATATTGCCTCATGAGACAGCATCAACATAGCATTATGTTTAACCCTACATTGTTGGAAAAGGACCCATAAGAAACATTTCACTGTTAGTCTACACCTGGGTTCGATACTGCGACCAAAACAGTCGCATTTGCGACCATTTCACTTCACGAATTGTTTTAACCTGGTCACGCTAGTTTTGGATCCCAATTAGCATTTTTTTTATCATCATGATTTATTCAATCAGTAATATGCAATTAGCTAAAAATAAAAACATTTTCTGAAGAGGCAACAACAGCACGGGATGCCCATGTCTGTGTGTGTCAGGGCTCGACATGCAGGGGAGGTTTTGTAAACTCGCTTGGGCCAGCAAAATAAATATTGTAATAATGGTATTTTTAATCCAGGCTACATCATTTATATAAAAAACTGATGGATTCCAGAAGATGTTTGTTCGTTATGTTGATTATTTATCACGCGTGCTGCACACATATAGCCTATAGATAATCTGTCGGGCAGAAAGAGCACGCAGCTCTCAAACAGCTGGTTGTTCTGTGGAGCGAAAATCGACAGTGGTAGGAAAGACGTTCCAAGTTATGATACAGTGCCTTGCAAAAGTATTCAGCCCCCTTGGCGTTTTTCCTATTTTGTTGCATTACAACCTGTAATTTAAATTGTTTTTTATTTGGATTTCATATAATGGACATACACAAAATAGTCAAAATTGGTGAAGTGAAATGAAAAAAATAACTTGTTTCAAACAATTCACAACAATAAATAACGGAAAAGTGGTGTGTGCATATGTATTCCCCCCCTTTGCTATGAAGCCCCTAAATAAGATCTGGTGCAACCAATTAGCTTCAGAAGTCACATAATTAGTTAAATAAAGTCCACCTGTGTGCAATCTAAGTGAACATGATCTCAGTATATATACACCTGTTCTGAAAGGACCCAGAGTCTGCAACACCACTATGTAAGGGACACCACCAAGCAAGTGGCAACATGAAGACCAAGGAGCTCTCCAAACAGGTCAGGGACAAAGTTGTGGAGAAGTACAGATCAGGGTTGGGTTATAAAAAAATATCAGAAACTTTGAACATCCCATGGAGCATGATTAAATCCATTATTAAAAAATGGAAAGAATAAGGCACCACAACAAACCTGTCAAGAGAGGGCCGCCCACCAAAACTCACGGACCAAGCAAGGAGGGAATTCATCAGAGAGGCAACAAAGAGACCAAAGATAACCCTGAAGGAGCTGCAAAGCTCCACAGCGGAGTTTGGAGTATCTGTCCATAGGACCACTTTGAGCCGTACACTCCACAGAGCTGGGCTTTACGGAAGAGTGGCCAGAAAAAAAGCCCTTGCTTAAAGAAAAAAATTATCAAACACATTTGGTGTTCGCCAAAATGCATGTGGGAGACTCCCCAAACATATGGAAGAAGGTACTCAGCAAGTGCCAGGACTGTCTCCTAAAGTTGATTCAGCTGCAGGATTGGGGCAAAACCAGTGCAGAGCTTGCTCAGGAATGGCAGCAGGCAGGTGTGAGGGCATCTGCACGCACATTGAGGCGAATACTTTTGGAGGATGGCCTAGTGTCAAGAAGGGCAGCAAAGAAGCCACTTCTCTCCAGGAAAAACATCAGGGACAGACTGACATTCTGCAAAAGGTACAGGGATTGGACTGCTGAGGACTGGGGTAAAGTCATTTTCTCTGATGAATCCCCTTTCCGATTGTTTGGGGCATCCGGATAACACCTTGTCCGGAGAAGACAAGGTGAGCGCTACCATCAGTCCTGTGTCATGCCAACAGTAAAACATCCTGAGACCATTCATGTGTGGGGTTGCTTCTCAGCCAAGGGAGTGGGCTCACTCACAATTTTGCCTAAGAACACAGCCATGAATAAAGAATGGTACCAACACATCCTCGACTGTACACCAGTGGAACCCTTCCAAGTTGAAGGAGCTGGAGCAATTTAGCCTTGAAGAATGGGCAAAGATCCCAGTGGCTAGGGGGTTGAATAGTTATGCACACTCAAGTTTTCTGTTTTTTTGTCTTATTTATTGTTTGTTTCACAAGAAAAAATATTTTGCATCTTCAAAGTGGTAGGTATGTTGTGTAAATCAAATGATACAAACCCCCCAAAAATCAATTTTAATTCCAGGTTGTAAGGCAACAAAATAGTAAAAATGCCAAGGGGGGTGAATACCTTTGCAAGCCACTGTATCAATCATGTAAATTCAAAGTCTTGGTTGAATATTTGTGATGTGCAATTCAGTCATCATGGAATAGCCTACCTTGAAAATTAAATAAAACATTTATTTGACAAATGCCCTGAATACAACAGGTGTAGACTTTACAGAGAAATGCTTACTTACTTACGAGCCCTTTTCCAACAATGCACAGTTAAAAAGTACGGAAAAGTTGCTAAAATTTTTAAAGGAAATAGTAACACAATAAAATAACAATAACAAGACTATATACTGTACTGGGAGTACCGGTACTGAGTCAATGTGCAGAGGTACGAGGTAGTTGAGGTAATTAAGGTACAGTATGTACATGTAGGTTGGGGTAAAAGTGACTAGGCAATCAGGATAGATAATAAACAGAGTAGCAGCAGCATATGTGAAGAGTGTGTAATATTTTCAAAGTGTGTGTGTGTGTGTGTGTGTGTGTGTGTGTGTGTGTGTGTGTGTGTGTGTGTGTGTGTGTGTGTGTGTGTGTGTGTGTGTGTGTGTGTGTGTGTGTGTGTGTGTGTGTGTGTGTGTGTGTGTGTGTGTGTGTGTGTGTGTGTGTGTGTGTGTGTGTGTGTGTGTGTGTGTGTGGCCTAGTGGTTAAGAGCGTTGGGACAGTAACAGAAAGGTTGTTGCTTCCAATCCCTGAGGCGACTAACTGAAAAATCTGTCAATGTGCCCTTAAGCATGGCACTTAAACCCTAATTGCTCCTGTAAGTCGCTCTGGATAAGAGCGTCTGCTAAATGACTAAAATGTATATTGGAGTGTCAGTGTATGTGGGTAGTGTCCAGCATAGAGCCGGTGCAAGTGAGTCAGTGCAAATAGTCAGTGCACCTGTCCATCTCCTCATTTGAATTCCATACTGTCACTTGTCCACTCAAGTGTAACATTATTGTTACCTATCGCCCACCAGGTGCCCTTGGAGAGTTCCTCAATGAGCTTGACACCTTGATAAGCTCATTTCCTGACGATGGCTAACTACTCTTCATACTTGACTACTTCAACCTCCCAACGTCTGCCTTTGATTCATTTATTTCCAACTCTCACTTTTCCCTCCTTGCCTCTTGACCTCACCCTTTCCCAATCCCCTCCAACTCACAAGGCAGGCAATACACTTAACCTCAGCTTTACTAGAGGCTGCTCGCCTACTAATCTCACTGCAACCCCCATCCAGGTATCTGATCACTACTTTGTTTCCTTTACTGTCTCCCTTTCCTCCAACCCTAACCACTCAGCCCCTACACAGATGGTCATGCGCCATCGCAATATTCACTCTCTCTCCCACTACTCTCTCCTCTTCTATCCTATCATCTCTCCCCTCTGCTAAATCCTTCTCCCTCCTGTCTCCTGATTCTGCCTCTTCGACCCTACTCTCCTCCATTTCCTCCCGGCCGGGTCAGCCCTCCCCTCCTGCTCCGTGGCTGAGTGACGTGACTCATTGCGAGCTTACAGAACAAGGCTGCGGGCAGCTGAGAGGAAATGGAGGGAAACTAAACTTCCGGAGGACCTATCATCCTTTCACTGCCTCCCCTCTACTTTATCTTCCTCTGTATCCACTGCTAAAGCCACTTTATACCAATCTACATTTCAAGCTTCTGCCTCTAACCGTAGGAAACTCTTTTCCACCTTCTCCTCCTTCCTTAATCATCCACCCCATCTCCCTCCCTCTTTGCAGAAGACTTTGTCAACCACTTGAAAAAAAGGATGACGACATTTGCTACTCATTCACCCAGCCTCTTGAGTCCACTGGTCTCACTCACACAGAACTACCCTAAACTTGACCCCTTTCTCTCCTCTATCTCCAGATGACATCCTGTGACTAGTGAGGTCTGCCCGCCCGACAACCTGCCCACTCTACCTCATCCCTTCTCCAGACCATCTCTGGAGACCTTCTCCCATTCCTAACTTCTTTCATCAACTC